GTCCACGTAATTTGTGAATTCCCTAGTAATTCACAAATTACGTGGACAGTTTTAGGGGTCCCAAATTGAATTGTTTCCATGGAAATGCCCAGCTCTGTGCCATTTCAATACTTATTTCATAAATAAATTTTCATTACATATGTTGCTAAAAAAATCATACTTATGACGTTATATAGGGAGGAGTGATTTATGAAAAAAATGACATAAGAGATATGAGGCACAGTGGATAGCTATGTGACAAAATTTTTCCCTTGAGCTTTAGTTTCTAAGTTATATGGTGTTCAAAAAAAGTTGAATAGTGTCTCACGAAAAAGTATGCTACAAAAAGGGCATTAATTCGCTATTAAAAAAACTTTGCTTGTCTAGATTCCGCTCGTTATCTATTGTGGAAGAGAAGGAGGATGCGAGGGGGAGGGAGAAAGATCCAAAAAAATTAAGAAAAGCCAGTAGTGTAATATATGAAGAGACTCTAATGAAGTAATTGTAGAAAATTTTATGGTTATCGTCAATTTTTTATTAAATGAAGAAGAACAACCTAATGAAGATGATGATTTTCCTGTAAGTTTGACTTTTTGTGAATAAAATTATAAAGTACAGTCTGTTCCAAAAGTCACTTATAAACAAAATTGTATATCTTCACCATATCTTTGATATGTCTTGTATTATAAAATTTCATTTGGTTCAATATGAAAAAGTTTTCTACTTGAACTCGAATGGAAAATTTCCTGGCTTTTATAAATAATTTATAATGTTTTTTTTTTCGTAGGATGATGAAGAAATTGATCAACGATACAAGGATTTTGCAGACAGAATTTTGGATTTAGCTGATAACGATCAAATATTAACACCAGCAATGTTGAAACAATTGTTAAAAGACTTTAAAATTGAAAAACATAAAGATTAAGTTTTTTTGTATGTTTCATTTTTCCTCTTTTGTTGTTCGTCTTTCATTTTTCTTTCTGGATGAAAAATAAAAATAAAAAACATGCTACTTGGATTTATATTCTAATGAACTTGTTATTTTTTATAGTTTTGAAGAAAAAAACATCACAGTTATGAACAATATCTATTCTATGATATATAATTTGATTGTTATTGATTAAGAATAATGAAGTTTATTTTTTTTTTGTATAACACAGTGTATATTATCTATCACAGTGATCAAGAAGCGATTTATCTCTGAAGAAATACTTGTTCATCAATTATAACAATAAATATATAAGGGATTATCAATTGTACTTTGAATAATAATGAACTTATGAATGTAGTATAGTAAATGGAAGGTACATTTAAGAAGCAAAAAACAATGACATTTTACCTGAAAACAAACATGACCATGTTCAATTAAAATGATTATTTTAGAAAAAATTCTTTTTGAAAATATTTTTTCAATATTATGTTTCATTATCTAGACAAAGTAATGATATAATGAAAGAGATACAAAGTCATAGCGACATATTTACAAATGAGATTATGAATAACGAATATAATTTGATCATATAATTGAGTTAACATTCATTATTTATGTATTAAACTATTAGAATATCTTTTATATTTTTGTTTAACAATGGTATTCTATACTTCTATGAAATCCACACATAAAAAAATTCGTTTAGATAAAAATATCGTTAGTATTAATTAATCATCGAATGAAGGAAATAATGTCGAAGCATAAAATAAGAAAAAAAACGGTGAAAGAAAAGAAGGAGCAAATCATCAAAAGAATATTATGTACATGAAAAGAAAAAAAAATAAGAAAATGAAATGATAATAAAATTGAGTTGAGCACCTACCATTTTACCATTGTTTCAGATAATTAAATTCTTGAGAAAGCTTTTATTCTTCATCACATAATGGACAGGAATCTTTTGCTGATGTTAATATTGAGTATCCGGAGCTGAATTTTGTATAGTTTGGTTTTTTTTAAACAAATCTTTCCCCATAATATTTTAAGTAAACAATAACCATGTTTAATTAAAAATATTTATGATCTCCCCTGTCAAAAATCACGACTTTCGTCAAAAAAACATGGATTTTGAGATTTTTATATGGTTGGATAGCCTATGTTGATTACTTTCGAAAACAGTATGGTTTATCGAAATTGTAATAATTTTTCAGAGTTTTATACAAGCTATACTGATGATGCTATCATAAAAGATAATGATTTCTTTGAAAATTTTTTGCTTTTTTCTCAAAACGAGCTTTTTATTTTTTTCTCACTTGTAAGTTCCAGATTTTTCGAGTACTTTAAATGCTAGACAGTGGAAAAAGATGTTAAATTGAAGAAAAAGTTTTGTTCTACAACCTAATAGAGCGGGATTGTTTATTTTTGACATAATTTTTCATAAAAATGGGTATTTTCACGGGAGTATTCCCTATTTTTTCGAATTTTTCGAGAAAAACTTACGCCAAAGATTACTAAAGAAGAATTTAAAAAATCAAGATCTATTAGATTGTAGCGGCAACCGTTGGCTACGTTTTGACACCAATCCCAGATCTGTATGATTAAATTTGGAGGAGAAATCTGGAACAGACGAGGAGCTACTTTTTCAGCCTTATTATGTGAATAACTCTTGAATAAGCTAATATTTCGGGCTGAAGCTTGTATTATAGTCTCTCAGATTCGAGCATACACCTTCTGAAAATTTCAGCAACATCAGTTGTTTTGGAGAAAAAATAGATTTTTGACAGAGGGAAGATGCTTTATGGAAATTATGATTTAGATATGATTAATGCTAATCAATCGAAACATTTAATTATATTTTCATCATGTCGGTTAAATATTTTCAAATTTATATTTAATTATATTTATATGACTAATGATGTTAATAATGATATTCTCGAGAAATTTAATCAATTTCAAACAGACTTTTGGATTGAAAAACATTGGTATATTGAATATGAATTATCATATTATTCATCATCTATTTATACAGTACCTTATACGTTAAATTCTTTTAAATTAGAAATAAGTACTCAAAGATATTGGAATCAATTCGTAAATACATTTCTGAATGTAACAAATTTAACATTATACCATGCAACATTAAAAGAAAAAACATGTCAATATTATTTTCCAAATGATGTATCATTAACAATACTTCCTTCAAAGGATACTCATAGACCTGCTTTGGGAACACGAATTATAAAATCTTTGAGAAACATTATTAATCCATTTTAGTTAAAATATTTAAGAGAGAGTCCATGAGATCATCACCCAACTCAGTTGCCGAAAGTTTTTGACTTTTAAAACTGAATATGCCATTTGAAAGAGCAAAAAAAGTTAGGCCGATGTGCAAATTTTCAGCTCTCTCGGACATGCCTTTGTCGGGTTAATTGCATATTACTTGTTCCTTCATAAATAGTTCCTAAAATTCCATTGATTATATCATTTCAAATTACTTCAAAAGAAAATCTCTGTTACCAACTTTACAACCACGAAAGGGTGTGATGAGGGTAACGATATGTCCTTCCAGTCAACACCCACACCCCGAACTCTTTTTGTTTATTTCAGAGACAGTTCTTTAAGATCTATAAGATTCGAAAATTTTTACCTCAAAAATGAATGAACACATGGAAATATTCTCCTGTTAGATTTTTTTTCTATGTCTATATGTGAAACAAATCAATTTCTATAAATAGAGGAAATTCTAAAAATTAGATAGAACAAGAATGAGTATGAACAGAAAAGTTGTATCTAACATATCTCTTGACGAAGAAAAGCGAACAAATTCCTATTTAAAAATAATTTCTATCTAACTTGATTGATTTGAATTGCAATTGATAAACTGTAATTCTGATGCAATCAAGAGGAACTTGTAGAACAACGTCTTCATATTTTGTCTTGAACTTTTGTTTTCTAAAGTAAATTTTCATTGCATCTATTGAATTAAGACATACCAATGAGTGTTAAAATATCATACCTATGATTGATTATAAATATTATATTGATTGTACAATCAAAGAACCAAACCTTTGTCATGATGATAACAAAGCTATATGAAATATTAGCTACCAAGACTGTTGAACATTGAAAACTTGTTCTTTTAGGAAAATACACAAGGAAGAAAGATGTTTTTATTTGCAAAAATAATCAAATTTAATCCAATTATAACAAAGACGGTTCTCAATATTATATTATTGCTTCAAAAATGAAAACATATGCATTGAAATGTCAATAGGTGCGTTTTTGACAAATAAAAGCATGATTTCTTTGATAATCTATTTGATTAACTAGCAGTCAACTTTAAACATTGTACATACCCAAAATAAACTACTTAATATGTGGCAATTAAGTTAGTCGTAGATTGATTTTCGTTGTTTTTTTGTGTACTCAAAAAGTGAGTACACTCTAGAATAGGTCAGTGTGTCCGGCCGGCCGTTTACACGATAACTTTTGAAAGCAGAGTTAAATTGCGATGAAATTTTCTATACAGTTCAGTCTTAACAATGTCTCGGTCGAGTTCGGAGATGAGCATGATTGGCCGAGCTGTTCCTGAGTTCTTGCAAAAATGCCCATTTTTTCCTATGGCTTCCTTTGCGAAAATCGACCCATCCCCGCCT